AAATAGGGACTAAATTTAATATAAAAATAATTTGAAATCAAATGTTAAGGTATGAAATTAAAAATAAAATTCAATTATAAAAAAAAAAGATAATAAAAAACAAGCAACAATAAAAAAATTAAAGACTAAATTTGATTAAAAAAACTTAATTGAAACTAAATAATAAACAATAAAATTGAAGGAAAAAAAATAACAATCAAAATAATAAGGACCAAATTAAATATAAAAGATAAATGAAAGAATACCCTATATTTTGACAAAGAAAAAAAAAAGAGAAAAGATGGAGAAAAAGAATAAAGTTCACCGGAGTCTAACTACTATGTTAATGTGTATATATGTTACATTACTAGAAAGATCATGACAAAATGCTTCCAAACATTGTTTGGATGTGGGATGATGCCTCACACGTGACCCAAAGAACACGAATATTATTCATTCGTTAATGCATCCATTGTATATTCTAATTATTTTTATTTTTAAAATAAAATTTATATTTATCAAAAAATCAAATCACCTCAGCCAACTTGTTAATTACTATAACATTAGTTTAAAAATATGAAAATTTAAAATTTTTGTTTTTAAGGTAATATAGATTAAGCTTTTAAAATATAAAAAAACAGAATTATTTTTTATTAATTTTATAATTTATTTTGCTTTTAAGAATAATGTAGTCTTTACAATTTACTCCTAAAAAGTTAAAAAAAAAAAAAACTGAATTGATCTCAATCAATCTCATAATAATTAATGGACCAACGAAAAAAAAATATTAATAATTATACCATTATCTATATCAAGAAACACAGTGAATCCTCCATGCCAATCTGTTTATATATATATATAAAAGGGACGCAACTTCCAACTTTCAGTTAGTCAAAAAGCTGAGTTCCCACCAAACACGCATTATCACGATAGATATTATAGTTATAACAAGCATCCATCATCAACCATCTTCAGGAGATTATAAATCCAATAAATCCTCCTTCAAACATCGATAAAGCAAGCTGAAAATATTCTCACTGGTTCAGCGTCACTAAAGCAATTTGTATTTTTGTAGAGGGTCTGGAAAAAGAAGCCAAGTAATCGATCTTAAAGCAATCAAAGTTTGCCATTAACCTATGATATATATAAAACAGGTGCAGTTTCTCATTCTTCCATTTCGATCGATCGAGTCAAATGCTTGTAAAATTCGAGGTGGGGTTATGGTAATTTTTATGATTGTGGTATGAAAAAAAATATATTTTATAAAAAAATATTTTTAGTCATAGTTGGTTTGATATTTATATATATTTATTTAAAATTATAGTTAGAATTGAGGATGAACAAAAAATAAATTAGAGTATGTTTAGTTAAGAATATTTTTTAAATTGAGGTTATAAATAATTAAAAAAGATATATATCAATGTTGATGATTTTTAATTTCAATATTGTAGATTTAACTATTGCTATTATATTATGAAATAAATAATACTTTTAATATTTTTTATTATTGCATTAAATTATTTATAATTCTATCACGTAAGAAATTCATCCGACAAGAATTACAGTTTTTTTGGTTTTTTAAACGTATAACAACATCAGGTAAATATTATCAGAAACAAAATTATGATTGAAATCAAATTCTACAAATGATACATCATTAAGCTATCTCTTTCTAATTTATATAATATTATTAAATAATATTAAATATTAATTTTTTTAAATAAAAATTAATTAAAAATAAATTAATTAATTAATTTTTTTTATTTTATCGAGTTAGATTCAATTCAGTATATTTAACTTTAAACCAAAAATAAAAAGAAAATACTTTCTTGAAAATTAAGTCAATTTTTTTTTTCTAGAAAAACATTTTTCATTTACTAACTTTTTTTTAATGATAACCAAACAAACAAAAACTAAATAATTTACCAAGTTAATAATCATATCCTAAGTTTATGGGCGCAAGTTACCAAATCTGAATATTTTATGCAAGTAAACATGCACATATACACCAAATCATAAGACTTCCATCTCTTCCCTAACCTGAATTAGCAAATGTTTTAATTATTGTTCAAGTGTAATCTTCGATACCTTTTATTCGGTGTATAACAACCCTGAAAAGACTATAATTTTGATGATGTTTTCAGCAACCAAATCACAAGTGAGAAAAGAAATTTTATTTTCCCAGACGATGCATCTGCGACCTCCTCCCGCTCCACTGTAGATTTTGGAGCTGTGATGATCATTTGCCCTATAAACATTTTGGTTTTACGGAAAGTGTTCTTTCCTTGTTATTTTTTGCCTCCGTACCGAAACTAATTATGTGACCACCTTTCTTGTTTGGTGAAAGGCAAGGTGTGTGCATGTCCAGCCGAAATTAAGGAATTGTTGAAAGTTTCACTTCTTATTATTCATATCACGAGATATGAAACGCAAAAAATACTTGTTTTAATCATCAAACGAATTCTTTTAGGTTGGGCTACACCAGGGACTCACTGCGCAGTAGGTCGTCCAAGATTCTTTATATATATATATATATATATAAAATGTTAAAGCTATGCAGCTGTTTTTAAAATAAGTAAAAAAAATATAATACTCAGGTTATTAACTCGACAATTTGTAATAAACTTGGCCAATTTAAATGATATAAATAAAAAATTATAAAAATAATAAATAAACTAATAAAAAATTTAACATCATAAAAATAATAAGCTAAATAAAACTTAATATTAAAAGACAAAATTAAAAATAAATTAATAAAAAAAAGTTAATGAAAGCTTTTTTTTTAGTCAACCTGAGGCAACGCAGTAACTCTGCTACCATATACACATTATTAGGATAATCCTAGAAAGAAAAGTGAAAAAAAACATAAAGATCAATTTTTAATAAATAAAATATTAAATAATAAAATAATAAAAAAATATAGTTTTAAAAAAAGATTTGAAAAAAACTAAAATCAACCCGTATTAACTTTTAAAATATATAACCTTAGCCATGAGCTATAGAAGACAAATCTTAATAAATAACAAGAAAAAAATCCTAAATCAACAAAATATTAAGACATGAGATTGAGAAAACATGTAATAATAAATAGGGACTAAATTTGATATAAAAATAATTTGAAATCAAATGTTAAGATGTGAAATTAAAAATAAAATTTAATTAAAAAAAAATAATAAAAAACAAGCAACAATAATAAAAAATAAAAATCAAAATCAAAACAATAAGGACCAAATTGAATATAAAAGATAAATATGAAAATACCCTGATATTTTGAAAAAGAAAAAAAAAAAGAGAAAAGATGAAGGAAAAGAATAAAGTTCACGGGAGCCTAACTACTATGTTACTGTGTATATATGTTACATTATTAGAAAGATCATAATATGTTATTGTGTATATATGTTACATTAATAGAAAAATCATAACAAGATGCTTCTAAACATTGTTTGGATGTGGGATGATGACTCACACATAACTCAAAAAACACGAATATTATTCATTTGTTAATGCATCCATTATATACTCTAACAACTTTTATTTTTAAAATAAAATTTATATTTATTAAAAAATTAAATCGCCTCAGCCAACTTGTTAATTACTATAACATTAGTTTGAAAATATGAAAATTTAAAATTTTTGTTTTTAAGGGTAATATAAATTATGCTTTTAAAATATAAAAAGATAGAATTATTTTTTATTAATCTTATAATTTATTTTACTTTTAAGGATAATGTAGTATTTATAATTTGCTCCTAAAAAGTTAAAAAAAAAAAAAACTGAATTGATCTCAATCAATCTCATAATAATTAATGGACCAACGAAAAAAAAATATTAATAATTATACCATTATCCATATCAAGAAACACAGTGAATCCTCCATGCCAATCTGTTTATATATATATATAAAAGGGACGCAACTTCCAACTTTCAGTTAGTCAAAAAGCTGAGTTCCCACCAAACACGCATTATCACGATAGATATTATAGTTATAACAAGCATCCATCATCAACCATCTTCAGGAGATTATAAATCCAATAAATCCTCCTTCAAACATCGATAAAGCAAGCTGAAAATATTCTCACTGGTTCAGCGTCACTAAAGCAATTTGTATTTTTGTAGAGGGTCTGGAAAAAGAAGCCAAGTAATCGATCTTAAAGCAATCAAAGTTTGCCATTAACCTATGATATATATAAAACAGGTGCAGTTTCTCATTCTTCCATTTCGATCGATCGAGTCAAATGCTTGTAAAATTCGAGGTGGGGTTATGGTAATTTTTATGATTGTGGTATGAAAAAAAATATATTTTATAAAAAAATATTTTTAGTCATAGTTGGTTTGATATTTATATATATTTATTTAAAATTATAGTTAGAATTGAGGATGAACAAAAAATAAATTAGAATATGTTTAGTTAAGAATATTTTTTAAATTGAGGTTATAAATAATTAAAAAAGATATATATCAATGTTGATGATTTTTAATTTAAATATTGTAGATTTAACTATTGTTATTATATTATGAAATAAATAATATTTTTAATATTTTTTATTATTCCATTAAACTATTTATAATTCTATCACGTATGAAATTCATCCGATAAGAACTACAGTTTTTTTGGGTTTTTAAGCATGTAACAACATCAGGTAAATATTATCAGAAACAAAATTATGATTGAAATCAAATTCTACAAATGATACATCATTAAGCTATCTCTTTCTAATTTATATAATATTATTAAATAATATTAAACATTAATTTTTTAAAATAAAACTTAATTAAAAATAAATAAATTAATTAAATTTTTTTATTTTATCGAGTTGGATTCAATTCAGTATATTTAACTTTAAACAAGGTTCTTTGAATTAGATTCAGTCCAAATAGAAGATTGAATAATCTCTTTACTGTTCAAATCAACCAGAACATTGAATAATCTCTTTACTGTTCGTTTGAACAATGACTGTCCATGACAGAAAAGAGGAAAATCAGGAACGCTGTTGCTTGGCAGCTACCTTTTCCAACTTTTGTTAAATCACAGGTTTGGCCACAAGTATTGATGGATTCTATAAAAATAAAAGTGGGTTTGAAACATAACCAAGCATAAAAATACTGCGGCCTCCTTTAATCTTGAGTGCAACCACGCTACCAAACAGCAAGCGAGCAGGATTTAAAGGTGTTGAGAAGAAGACAAGTCGTGGGCACCAGAGAATACATGCTTTGTCAAGCTTAAAGGCATGAAAATTCAATAGAAGGAGGGCTATGCTTTTCTTTGCTTTCCATGTCCACTGAGCCCTTAGAAATATTTCCTTGTTCTCTATAATTCCTCTATCTTTCTGGCTATAATCTACTGGGGTTGGCATATCTCGTGCCAACTCTTATCCAGGTCGTCGTCCAGCATAAAGCACAGATAGGCTTTCTTGTCTTTGTCTACAGATGTAGTCCAATGATGCTGGACCTTTCACGTGATCTGTTTGCGATCTTGATTTGCTTCTTCCTGCGCTAATTGGATGGTAAAAAATAATAGATGATGGAAAGTGAAAGGTCTCAGCACTTTGTTTGGTACGGAGCAAAAGGATTGCCAGTGTGCAAAAGAGTCTGGAAAGTGAAGGTGGAAAGGAAAAGAGACTAAAAAATAATCGTCCTTCTTATCAATTTCACTATAATTTTCAGAGGCAGAAAGAAAAGAATCGACAAATTCAGGAGGACTGGCCATTGGATCATTCTTTCCTCCTTTGACCATCACATCATTTGCCTTAATGACCCTGTTACCTTCTTCTTATACATATTGGCTTTCAAGAATCTTAAAAATAAATGAAAATACACCACACATAATACTCGTTATTCTCTAATATACTCTGTGGTTTCCATTTCATTTTTTTATTATTATTAAAAAAGCAAAAATAAAAATTACTGTGACCTTTCAAGAATCTTAAAAATAAATGAAAACACACCACACATAATACTTGTTATTCTCTAATATACGCTGTGGTTTCCATTTCAGTTTATTATTATTATTAAAAAAGCAAAACTAAAAATTACTGTAGCAACTTTTTAAAACCATTTTGTTTGGTTTTAAAAACTTTGGTAATTGTTCTTTATTTTATTAAAAACAAAAACAAAAACATGAAGAAGTAGGAAAAGAAAATAGTACCGAATGACCCCTTAAAGAAACTCTCCATCGACTTCAGTGTTATTTCAAAGCCTGTAATGGGCATGAAAAAATAGAAATCAGATATCTGTAATTAATATTTATAAATTCAAACCAAAAATGTTAATTCATAAATAAATGCTTGTTTTAATCTGAAAAGAAAAAAAAATCATAATGATTATGTTAAAACCTTTTTTTTATTCTTATAGGTGCTTGGAAATGTGGTAATGAATGCATTTTAAAATTATAATTCACTTAAAAAATAATCATTTTTTTTTGCTAGTCTTTGTTCACCCCCAGCATAGTTTCTCTAACGTTTACACCATGTTTTTGTTCATTGTATGTAATAGAATAATGCAAAAGAAAAATGCTAAGTTTACATTATAGACTAGTGGAACACCTACAAAGTCCATGACCTTGTTCAAAGAATATTCTAAAATAGACTAGTGGAACACCTACAAAGTCCATAACCTTGTTCTAAGAATATTCTAAAAAGAAGAAGAAGAAGAAGAAGAAAGTCTCAATATCAGCCCAGTAAAGTTTTAGAGCGGCCCAATAAATGACCCAGCTCGTTTCTGACCAAGTTGTTTTTGATGGGACCGAGGACCTCGACCGGAGTGCCAATGGATCCTTGCTTAAATGGGCCGCAAGACTACCCCAGCTTCATCTAAGCAACTCGTCGAATGGGCTGAAAACTAGGAACGACAACCAAGCCATGCTTACAAATTCACATCACCAGGAAAGGGAATGGGATCATGGAAAATTTCTTTCGTAGCTTTACAACGAATGAAAACAATAAAGGAACGAAGAAATTTCTAATTTTCCCGGCAGAAAAACAACATGCTGAATTATGTCCTAGCATGGATGCCGCTGCTGCTAACAATTACAAAATCTCTTGTAATAAACGATCTATAACTTCACTAATTTAATACTCTCGCTCTAATGAAAATATTCGATGCAAAAAAAGTTATAACTAAATGTGTCTATTTTAGCTGATATTCTTAGGAATCAATCAATGACAAGAATAATTGTTGCGAAGTTATTCTAAAACTTGCCTGACAATTGCAGGAGACCAAGAAAGATTTGCATGTCCGAATACTGAAACTCGTTCAACTATATGTAACTATTTTAGCTCTTATCCTCCGAATCACACCTTCCTTCGTTTCTTCTCTGAAGGAGCAGTGTGCAACTCTATCCCTTCTTCTAGCTCTCTTTCTATCCAGGTTTCCGTATCTAACTCAGCATCCATGGTTTCATTGGACAATGAAGCTCTAGTTTTTACAGCTATCTGGCATCTCCGTCTCTTTAATGTTTCTCTAATCTGGTGAACATCAATGTTATGATGGGAATTATAAGATGGCGCAACATTGCTGCTGGAACTCAACTCATAGTCCCCTGTTCTTGGCTGATTCTTACCATCACCATCCTCAACAACACTGCTTGCACCACTATCAATTGTTCGACATGGTAAAACTTCATTCAGGCTGGTGTTTCTGTCAGATGAGGATGAATCTTCCATCACAGCCCCATCGCTAGCAAGTGAATTAGACATTGATACACTCGTAACAGCTGATTGCGCACTACTGGTAACCATCTTCTTGGCAGAAGCTTTAGATTGTGGAACCCTCCCATGCGTTGCTGGAAGAGTCCTTTTTGGATCTTGTTCTAACAACCTGGCCATCTGTTGGATGACCTCTGGAAAGCATTTGTGAAAATAGGTTGATGAATAACAGAAAGTTAAACGAGGACACATGAATGAACAGAAAAAAGCTGTTCTACTAATAATATGGGTGCATCTCTTAAAAAAAAAATGTTTGAACTGCAAAAACTGCATCTACGTAAATATTCAATATAATAGAAGTGCTAATTGATACCAACAGCCAGTCAAGGTCAAGGATCCCGATGTTCATAATTTTGACTTAAAGCAATATATACCAACATACCTTCCAATTGTTTAGGTGAAATGTCAAACTCCAGCCACCAGACATTTCCCTTCTCTGTAGGAAGTTTCACCTTTTGAAATTTGGCAGCGAGATACATGGAACCGGCTGCGATGTAATGGGGCTTGTACTGCAAGCATAAAGTTGTGCAAAGCCTGCAAATCCCATCACAGAAATACATGATCATTCAAAGAGAAATTTGGCAAGAATCTATAATCAAATCTACACTTGGACCAAATACAACGAGCGAATAGAGGGCTTACCAATCATTCACAAAATTCCAAGCTACTTTTGCAAGATCTGGGTATATGTTCAATTTCTTCAAAGCATTTACAAGTGGCTTGTAAGGAAGTTGGACATCAAGATCAAAACCAATTGTTGCCAATAAAAGCCTCTCTCCAGTTACAAGTAATTCCTTCTGACTACTGCAAAATCCCTACAAGCAAATGATTTGCTGGATAAGTAAGCGCAACAGCTTGGAACCATGAAAACCGAAAGAATTACAGGAATCCGCTTACTATCTGCCTGATTCTATGTGAGGCAGAAGGATCCCTTTTGTGAATCAGCTCATAAGCCACAACAACAACATCCCTCAGCAAGCGCGGAGTTTCCTCCAGTTTGCAAGCAAGAAACATGCTTGCAGATGCCATTGTCTGCAATTTTTAAAACTTCTAAGGAATTAAAGGCAAATCAAAACCAGCCATCTGCTTGTTGTTTCCCAAAAAAAGGTATATGTTTCTGTGCATGTGAAACATAAGCATGTGGGCTGATTTTAGAAATGATGATTCGCTTCAAGCACAGGGGAGGAAAAGGATAAAAAGTAGACCTAAAATGGTATGGAGCTTGAAAAGGTCAGAAAAGATATTTGTTCCTTGGTTAAAGCAAGTGTGCATTTCAAATACAAAAAATACAGAGTATAATATACCTGGAAAACAGTATTACATTAAAAAATAATATCAACAATTCCTTTTAAGAGATGGTGTAACAGCATGGACACGCACTCCTGCTTTCAACATTATAGATATCAAGCATTGATGGAATACATTCAGTTTCACATGCAAATGTAAGCTCTGTGGGTTCGTAAAAAGATGGATGCTTAGATATATGCTTTGCAGGCTGTAAGTATTTGTCCAACAAAGAAAAATTATAAATTAGCCAACCCACACAAGAATTGTTGAGAATAGGAGAGCCAGATACAACCCAAGGATGGAATTAGTACCTTCCAATCATTCTTTGCATGAGATTGACGCATGTAAAACCGGTGGCACAATATCAATGCACATGCTATTGTCACCTGGGGCCTGAAGGGCAGACATCAAGGGTCACCATCACTAGTGAATATGAAATGCCAAGAGTGTCATGAAAATAAATTGTTTTGCATAAAAGGGCAATGATGACATGTCAAGAACCACAACCATACAACTATGAAATAATACTCTTAGGCCTTTTAGAGGGTTCATCAAGTTACACAACTTAAGAGTTGTTGGAGATGGTTTTGTGCACCAATCATCCGAAGTGTGTTTTCACTTTCCCATGGAACACAAGGAGCATGGAGATAGAGGAGCACAGTTTCAAAAGGATGACTCCACAAACAGTATGGTAGCAAGAGATTGTGCAAGCAGAGTGAAACAACCACTTCACATGGCAACAACAGCACCTAAAGGATTAATCAAGTCAAGACAAGGTGAAAACAAGAAGAGACTATGAATATAATCAAGTACCATCCCATCAACCATGAGTGGAAGATGGGTTAAATAAATGCTGCTAAGCCATGCAGAGCACAGCAGCAGAACTGGAAATGACAATGTAAAAAGGCATAAAATTCTTCCTTCTGGTGACGACAAGCAACCGGGTGAAAAAAGGAATCCAACTTCATCTGAATCTTCACCCAATAGAACAGCCTCCACAAACTTCATCCACTAACATAAAAGGCAACTTCAATGAAGTATACAAGCTAGAAAGAAGCAAGCAACACGAAGCAACTTCCATTGGAATAAATATGGAATCAGACATACACGGATGTAAAGTTAGAAACACAATAGGAAGCACACAGCCAAAGCACGCATCATATAGCCACATTCAAGTTACTAAACCAGTACATCTCAAATGCATGGGTCAACATGAATAAATCTAAAGCTCAAATGCAAGGATCAACATGAATAAATCTAGAGCTTACACTTTAAGCTTCACGCCGAGCTCTTTAATAAATGAACAGCACAATTTCCGTAATTGAGACTCCTTCTCAATGTCAATACCATCCCTTCTAGAAGGGGAAAAGTCTTCAATTTCTTGTCTACTGAAGTACCACTTGCGTGTATAATACTGAGGCTCCTTCGGCAAGTGTATGCTAGTTGCAATCTTAGCCATCCTCAACTTCTCTTCTCAATGGAAGAGAGCTCTAAATATACTGCCCAGGATATGACTGCTAAACGCACTTTCCTTGCTTAAAAATCACCCCTCGATCCAATTTCCTGCCCAGTTAAACAGACAAACATTTACAAAATTGGACAAAAAAAGATAAATATTCAAAGGAATTTTTTAAGAAATATTATCCAATGACCAACAATTTCATAGCAAGAATTGCATAAATTAAAAATCCTATTGGTGCAGAAAGTTTCAAAATTTTCCTCTAGGGGAAATTTCAAGATTTCCAATAATAACTAAAAAGAAAAAAAAATTGCTAGCTCTTATGACTAATTACAATTCATAAAATTTTCTTTATTACGGAAAGTTTCATCTAGTTTTTCCTGTAAGAGAAGAGGCCTCGTTTCTTTACAAAGATTCTACGCAATTACTAAAATTAAATTCAAATTCGCATAATTCTATATTTGATTAAACTCCAAAATCATTTGAAAAGAAAAGAAAAGAGGGATCAATTAATCGAAAGAAAAAAATCCTAGAAATTGAGAAAGAGTCGAGCATACCTGGAGAAGATGGGAGGATCAGGGGATGCAACAGTCGCTTTTCAGTAACCCTAGCTTTTAGGTTACCGTTTGAAGCTCTTCTATTTTTCTTGCTTTTTTATTTTTTTCCCCTTCTATTTCAGTGCAGTTGACGTTGACTCTGATGTTAGACGTGCTTTCGTCATCTCAAACGCGTGACGCGTTCTTTGCACGCTCTCCTCAACGCATGCTACGGCGGTTGTTGCTTTGTAGTGAAGAAAGGAAACTTGAGATTCCTCATGCTTCACGTGATCTTTAGCTATGTGGGCCTGAACTAAATTTTACTGGGCCCAATTGGTCATCTACGTGGGCAAAGTTCTTTCACTAAATGAAAGCTCGATAGAAGTGTGTGGACTGCTAATTTCGGCCCATTCAGCTCAATTTAAAATTAGATCCAGCATTTTTAATTATGCTGCCAGCAGCTCATGTTACTTCTTGTTGCTTGTTAAATATGTTAGGAGTAATAATATAATTTTTTAATATTCGAGCACGTTCTTAGTTTCTTTTTCTTCTTCCTTTTCATATTCCCCTTCACAGATAATGAAATCAAAAGGGTTGGCTTGAAAAGTTATCCGAGCACGTTCGTATAAGTCCCCCCACGAAGTTTTGTTTCTTGGATATAAATTTAATTAGGTGTACCGATTCGAGGTTGATCGGTGCAAAATCTACATTATGAATTGGATAGGTGGAGCAAATTAAAAAAAAATATATTTTTTAAAAAATATATTTGAATTAGGTTATAGATTAACTTGGATTTTTATTAGTCATTTGAGATCAATTTTCTCATCTTCTACGTTTATTAGTCATTTGAGATCAATTTTCTCATAATGATATTTGAGCAACAAGAAATTTAATGATATTTTAAAATTTAAAATATATAAATAACATGTTATTCAGTATTTGGAATAATTATTAATCAATATATTTAATTACTTGGATTTTATCTTTTTAGTTTAAATAAATTCTAGATTTATGATACAAGTTTTAGTATCTACAAATATAATTTCAATTAGAAAATTTAAAAATCCTTGAATGATAAAATTAGAATACATGAAAAGATAATATATAACTTTAAAAAAATTAAATTCAAGGGTCAAATATATTTATTTAAGTGGGTTAATATATGAAAAGATAATAACTGTCTATTTGGATATGTCATTGTGTTTTTTTCTACATGATGCAGCTAGATAGATTATTGTCAATGGTTATTTTTTTCTCTCTCTCTTACTAGATAAAATGCATGATCATTGTTTTTTTTTTCAATTTCAATCGTTATTTTTTATTTTTTTATTTTATTCCTATTCCTTTTATAAAATTTTTATTTTAAAAAAATCCTATTCCTTTTATAAAATTTTTATTTTTAAAAAAAATTATTTATTCAATTATAATTTTTCATATATTTTTTCATTTTGATTCTTATTCTTTTAATTTGTAATTTTTTTTCTTGGTCTTCTTGTTAAAAAAAATAATTTACTTTCAATTTCATCATTTAATCAAAGTTATTGTTGTTTTATTTTTTATTTTTAATTTGACCGTTATTTTTTTTGTTAAGGTTATTTTTCAATTTAATCTAACCCTCTAATTGAAAAGTTTTGTTTGCCCTCTAGTTATTTGTTTTTTTTTTACTCTTATTTTTTAAGACAATTATATGTGATTGATTATTTTAATTGATTTCATTTCTCGATATTTGATTTGCTGGAATTTTAATTTTGTATGATCTTATTATTCTGTATTATTTTTTTAAATATTGGTTTAATGATTATCTTCAGTTTTTTTATAAGTTTATCCTGATTTCATAATTTAAGTCATGAGTTTTATATGTTTTTTTTAATATAACTTTTTTTAAAATATATTTTTTGTGTTTAATTTTCAATATATTATTTTAATTCATCTTTAATTTCTTTCATGTACAAATGAGATTTATTTTTCAAAATAAAAATATTCATTTTTAAATAATATTTCTAATTTGTTTGGCTTTGTGTAATTTTTTGTGTGAATTTATTCAATAAATTTTATTTTTTTAAGTGTGAATTTATCTTTTATTGATTTAAATATATAAGTTTAGTGAATGTAATCGAGTGAATATTTTATTTTACATGATTGAATATCTTAATTCATATTTATTTTTAAATTTTTGTAATTTATCTTTTGGTCATTTTTAATGATTTTTTATTTATTTATTTACATAGATAATTATTAATTTTTTTAATTAAATGCTTGTATAGATTATTTAATTTATTCTTTGAAATTTTTTATATAAAAAATATATCTAAATAGCATACATATCTAATATTTCTTTTTAAAAAATTACAACTTGCAGCACAGCGCAACGCCAGTTGGATAGCTAATATAAATAAAAGTAAAGGTAGAAGGGCAAGTTAGTATAAATAAATAAAAAATAACAGGGATTAATTAAATCTTTTAACCCCACACACACACACCCACACACACACCCACACACAGACTCTGCCAAATTGTTACCCTGTTCTTGACTGTTACTTAATATCATCATTATTACCGGACAATAATTTTATTAATTAACTGAAATGCCTAATGGACTTCGCCGAAAGTCAATCAAGATCCCAACAGAAGTCAACAGAATCACGGGGGATGTGGGTCTTAGACTCCTATCAATTAGTGAATGCTGGATAAGAACATATTAAAACATGCACACATCATAAACAAATTAATGTGAGACAATTAACAATACGTTGATATAGTAGAATTTGGAATCAAAACCTTTAAAATGCAGCCCTACGTACCTCTCATGTGGATCTATAAAGTAGTCTAGTAGTGGCCTAGTTGCCTTATTAATTATTGAAAAAATGCTTGCCCCGGTCTCTATGATGGAAAAGGATAAAAAAATACATATGCCAAAATTTGTTTGTCTTTGTTGAAATTTAATTTTGATCTATTTACTTTTTAATTTAATTTTACATGATTTAATATATAAAATTAAAAATTTATTTTGATTAAAAGTATAATTTATTAATTTGCATAAAAACTACAATGTGTTTTTGTTATTTTATCATTATCTTAAAGATAATTCTTGTCTTTAAAATAACGGTAGTTATCCACTTTTAAATTTAACTTTCAATCAAATTCAAACTTCAAAAAAAAATTTGACTGAAACTTTATTTCTCATGTACGAAAGAACTCCAACATTATAAATACAGATCTTAGTGTATGCATAAAAGAGGGCAGACAATATAGAGAAAAAAACAAAGGAGAAAAATAGAAAAAAAAAGAAGAAGAAAAATAGGGGAGACGATAGAAGTGAGAAAACAAAGAAGAGAACTAAACAAAAAAAATCAAGAATAAAGGGAGGAGATGTCAAAAAACTATTTCAACCTAAAAGCTTAAACTTTTAGATAAGGTTCTAATATATGATTTATATTATTCTCTAACACTCTCATCAAGTGAAAGCTCTTGGGGCTTGAAACTTGCACAGACCCATATTATCTTATACTTAATTTTTATCAAATAAATGAGGATGGTGAGATTCGAACTCGTAATTGCTTGATCATCAAGGCTTTAATACCATATCAAAATACCATCTCAACTCAAAAAACTATTTCAACCTAAAAGCTTAAACTTTTAGATAAGGTTCTAATATATGATTTATATTATTCTCTAACACTCTTATCAAGTGAAAGCTCTTTGGGCTTGAAACTTGCACATGCCCATATTATCTTATACTTAATTTTTATCAAATAAATGAAGATGGTGAGATTCGAACTCGTAACTGCTTGATCATCAAGGCTTTAATACCATGTTAAAAAATCATCTCAACTCAAAAGCTTAAACTTTTAGGTATAGTCCCAAGATGTAATTTATATTATTATCTTATAGGTAAGGTTCCAATATATAATTTATATGATTTTCTAACAGAAAAGACTAAGAAAAGAGGAGAAGGAGAGCATTCTCCAATTAGTACCTCCACTATTACCTTCGCCTTTGGCTTCACCAGGTTAAATCTTTATTCTTCTCTCTATTTTTGTGTTATTGTTGCAAGAAAATAATATGAAGGTAATTTAATTATCTTTTTTGTGTAATTGTTGCAAAAAAATAGTATGAAGGTAATTTAATTATCTTCGCACTGTACAATGCACACGTGGGTTGAGCCATGCATGCCTGTTGATATTATAAAATTTCAAAAATATTTAGAGATTTTTGTTAATTTATTTGTGGACCCCTCGTACTTTGATTTATTTTTTCTTTGCAATTTATATTTTTTAAGTTATGTGCTCAATATGCAGCTTGTTATTGTTAAAAGCAAATCTGTTATGTAATATTTTTTTTATTTCCATCTAAAAAGGGAAAATAACAATAAAGGACAAACAAGAAAAAAATAACATAAAAAATTTATTTTCAAATTTAATTTTTGCGAAAATATTCACTAATACCAGAGTCAAGAGTATCATATTTTTTTATTTGTGCAATATTTACCGACACCAGAGTTGAAAATATTCACAGGAATTGTTCATTAATTTCAGAGAAAGGAATATGAAAGGAAGAATAAAAAAGAAAAAAATAAATTCTTAAACAATTTTAGACAAAATCAGCAATATAGCCTATATCAGGTATGACGCTTAAGGAGTGATAACATTTTTTCTTTTGCGTAACCAGTCCTGTGTCATATAATATTTGGTGACCAATTAGTGTTCTTAGTGATCGTAATACTAGGTGACGACTTTTTGAATAAGATACTATCTTTTCTTTTGCGTAACCAGTCCTGTATCATATAATATTTGGTGATCAATTAGTGTTCTTGGTGATCGTAATACTAGGTGGCGACTTTTTGAATAAGATATTTTTTCCTAAAAAAACAAAATGCCAGATATATATATTTTTTTTCAATTAAGTGATAATTTTTAATCAGCGGCTATCATATCCGGGTGTGACAATATTGATCACACTTTTAAGACTCAGTCGAATCTTGTTTTTCTTAGCTATTTAGATTTGGTTTTGCATTTTAAAAATGTACTTGGTATAAAAAAGTTTAATATTTTTTTTGTGTTTTTTCATAATTTTATTTGTTGATGTAAAAAAATATAAAAAAATATTTTAATTTATTTTAAAATAAAAATTATTTTTAAAAAACATCATACACAATAATACAGATATTTATTTAAAAGTTTATTTTTCCGTTTCA